AGTCACAAAACGGAAAAGATTGGTCCTTCATAGCATAACATGAATTAAATGTTCCAGTTTGTCCTTCAAATCCAGCAGAGAGATGCCCAGTGCAGCAGCTCTCATTATGGAGGGCCGGTAAAAGGTGGTGTGGGGCCTTGATTATAGGGTTAATGTCCACATACACACTAATCTAACACCAATGCTAAGCCCAAACACAACAAATGCAGAAAAATTACTAAATTTTAACTATTCAACTATAAAAGCTTAAAAGAAATTACAAATTAATTAAGTTCAAGTTCTGTCTTGATATCATACCCACAACTGTCCTTAAAGTCCTGCCTATCATTGCACCTGATCTGATTCATATAGTAAACTCATCCCTCTCATCAGGTGTTTTCCCCCACAGGCTTTAAAAACAGAAAATAAAAAAACAGTCTTGAAAAACCACTACTGTACAACTACAGGCCAATCTCCAACCTTCCATTCATCAGCAAAACTATTGAAAAACCAGTTTCAACAGTTTCATAGTTTTATAACTATAGCCAATGCAACATTTGCTAACATTTATCAGAGCTGCACAATAAGGGAAGCATACAGAAGTGATACTACTGCTGAAAATTCTCAAGACAATAGCAATTATGATTTACCAACATTTTCTTTTGGCTCTTTTCATCCTTTAATTTTACATGAAGGCCCTACAACATGAAATCTATACAGTCCAAATATACTGACATGAATAGAGTTTTGAAATATTGTATTCTGAGAAATATTACATCAAAGTAGTGCTTTGGGATTGCACTATTGCTCACACCGATAGTGTGATAGCATCTACAATCTGATCTATTGTGCAGTTCTGGCAATTCTACTCCCACAGTCAGGAATTCTTGCTTTCCTGAAAACCCAATAGTATAGATAGCCTGTTGGATGGAACTTCACTGCAGCAGAGACCCACACCAGATGACAGCGCTAAAGATGCTAAAGGTTACAAGAAAGATGTTTCTTCTACTGCATAATCAGACCTGAACTAGGTTCTATAAAACCTGTTTAGTTTGTGTGACCTAGTTTTTGAGCAGGAAGAGTATGTGCGTCACATACTGTATACTTTGACATCTATTCACACTCTGAAGCACCTTCCGATTTGAAAATCTGTAGCATTTCCACAAACACAATTCTGAATGACATTGCTGAAATGAGAAGAATTTTTTTCCATTTAGCTAGCATTTGGAAGTGTTTCATCTTATTGCTAAAATGACAGCTTTTAATGCTGCTGCATTTATAACCCGTTCCTCTTATCAGAGCTCCCCCCCAGACACTTGATGGAATTTGCCATCGCACAATGGTTGGAAAATATACTTCAAAGGCAAGACGCATCTAATCTCCTCCACTCTGCACATTGCAAATTTGCTGTGGTAATAAGATCCTGCCTTCCCAAGCGTTCTTAAGGATCTGAACGAAGGATGAGAATTTCATCTCTCTTTTGCTCTCTCTCCTTCTGTTTCTTTCCGTATTGCTTCCTTTCAGCGTGGCATTGCAAAAGTAGTGTGTTGGGCACAGTGCTGCAGTTAAGAAGAATTTCTGCAACAGCAAAATACTGCATAAATGTTGGAACCCATCCCATCCTTATGTAAAAGCCCCCATTTTACAGCTTTATTCTTCACACACACACAGAAGAGACACAACTGACAACACAGCACAGTGACCTAGTTTCTATGTGGCCCAGAAAGATCAAGCATGACTCCCTCAGAACAGCTATAGGCACTAAAACCTGGTTCAGCTCTTCAGACCAGTACACATCATCAAGCATCCAGGATACCCATCACACTGCAACGGCGTGTTGTGGCTGCAAAACCACAACTCGCATATCAGAGATGTGCTACAGATTCTGAGTTAGCTTCACATCAGAACCATGAGACGAGTGGAAAAGCAGAAGGGAATGGTGGCAGGTAACGCCGGAGGACGTACTGCAACGCTGCCCTGTTCGACCCCACCGTCCCACAATCCATCGCTCCATCCCCACCAGGTTATCTTTATATGTGGGGAAGGTTATGGAAGGAGATGCTATCACAGTGAGTGCATTAGCACAACAAAGGAGTGTTTTAGAGACAAGCCCGGCAGAATAATTAGCTGATCTCTTCCCAAGATGCTGTGTTTGATACAGAACAACATGCTAATGTGAGGACACAGAGTTTAGTGTGAAAGGAGGAGATAATTTCAGTCATGGAAGAACAAAAAAAGAGCCACTAAGAAAGGATGGCTTCTCTGACTTGCTCTGATAGCTTAAAGCACTCAAGAAGGTTTTGACCTTGAAGTGGTGATTTCTGAAAATGTTTTTCACCTATGAGTGCGGTGAGGTTGTCGATTCGAAATCAAGATCTTTATGATGCAATGTAACGGCACTACTGTTGCACCACTCCAAGATGACTTGGGTATTCAATTAAAATTTAAAAAAGTCAGATCAGAGAAACGTTCTTGAGGCCAAGGTCTGGAAAAATCACAATGTCTAACTATTTAGTGTGATACATCTGCACACATTTGATTTGTCAGTGTGTCAAATCAAATAAAGTCAGTGCAAATCATTAACTTTTTTTTAAAATACAGTGATATTAGTAATGTCTCATTTATTGAATGAGAAGTTAACATTTCAAATGAAGAAAATAACTATTTGTGTATATTCACAAATATGGAAGACCAAAACTGACAAATTATAAGCAGAAATAGATACATTTAGTTTTTCCTTTTTTCCTTATACAGCCATTTTTGTTGTATTTTAAAATTTCCTTGGCTCCTGTTTGTACTTTATCATATGCATTTCCGCCTCATTATGCAAAGGAGGAGGGTGGTGTCTGAAGGCTCCAACTTCTGCCTATTGGTTGGTTAGCATTACACTCCACTTGGCTTCAAAAAAGATGTTGAGCAATTTATTAGTGAGCTGAAGCATGGCAACTTTATTAGAAAAATGGGTAACACTAAACACTTATTGTAATGAAATCATTCATTACTGTTTAAACTTTACCTTTAATAACATAAAGTTACCTAATTTTTAAAGTGCAATCAGTAACACTTTTAGAACAAATTTATATCAGTAATGATTTTTTGGTTAATGTCAAGTTGTCATAACAAAGACATTTTGAATAATGTCAACTTTGTATTAAAAGTGTCATAATTTACCGAATGACGCTTTATGACAACAGTCATAAATATTCATGAAGGCTTATTCATGTTCATGACAGGCGTTATGTCATGTTTATGAAAGTGCCATGACAGTCTTATTCACCCCCCTTCAAATAAAGTGTTATCGCAAAATGCTATAATTCCTGACTTTACCATTTTTCGTGCCTCTCCCCTGTCAGACTGCCCCAGGGCAGCTGTGGCTACTATGAAGTAGCTTGGCACCATCAGTGTGTCAATATGTGTGTGTATGGGTGGATGACTGAAAGACCTCTAAGCATGATAAAGCACTGTTCAAGTACAAGCTATTTACCATTTACCTCTTACAGGAACAGTTACATACAGCAAATCAAGCCATAGTCCATCTTTTCTTGCTCATGTCTGCATTTTCTCACTTCTCTCTTGCTCAGAAAACATCCTTGGTCAACGACTGACACCTCTGCTGCGTATTCGTGTGACAGTAGAACTACATTATACAACGAGAATGGAACTTTACGATAGAACATTAATTAACCAAGTTTGTTAACATTTTAGACAGTTTATACTACCAACTGTTCCACCCCAGAGCAATGCATCTGGAATAGAGCTATACTTTTTCTAAGCGCAAAGAAGACATCAATGTATCTGATAAATGGCCCTTTACAGATATGTAAGCCTGCCAATTTTCTAGATAGTTTACTTTAAAAGAAACATGAGTCATGAGTGACCAACCTATTGATGCTATTCACCAATTTATCCAAAGCTAATGCAAGTGAGTAGTCTCCCTCTCATTTGCCAGCTCCAGCAAGGCAGTTACTTCTGTCAGTTGCTCAGTTACCAGATGAGTTAATCAGATCAGTAAGCTGGCCTCAGAATGGATAAAGCCACTGCTGGGTGCACAATAATCTTAATTTTGGTGTCGATATTGTTGCATAAAAGGACAGTCTGTACCAGTAGTGGTTTTCTGCTGGATTATTAGAAGCCTTCAATCACCTGTCGCTTAGTGAGCAACGAATTCCAATAGCAACGTGTGTCAGGGCATGAAGTTCTGATCTTATCTGCAAAGGGAACTCTTTCTTCTTCAAAGGCTGACTGTCAGGCCAAGTAAAACAGTAAACATAATGCATGCGAGTCACCTGATATGCAGACACCACCAGATCTGTAGACAGTTCTGTTTTTTGGTAAATCTATTATTAGAATGTTATGAAAAAGCTCTGTTTTTTGTCACTCATTTCAGAAAGTGAAACTCATATTCATTACATTAGTGAAATATTTCAAGTCTCGATAATTGCCTTTTATGGATTATAACTCAAAATCCAGTGTCAGTCTTTTCTCTATAGAGTTCACGTCAAGCCAGTTTGCCCACCCATCAAACACAGTACACCATGGTCACTGAACCAGCTTCACTACAAACCCCCATGGTCCATCCAGGTATTACTTTGCCCCAGATCCCAGTCCATCCATCCCACCACCTCAATGCCAGACCAACAGCCACCACAGGACAGCACACAGATGCCCACTCCGCCCAGGGTGACCACCGACCCGGCGCCAGCAGCCCCATGCTGAGGTGTTTTTTTGTTTTTGTTTTTGTTTTTTTGTTTTTTAAACAAACCATCAACTCCACACTTAACTGAAATTTACAAAAACATTGGCCATTTCTCAATATGCGTCCTTGTCTGTACTTGTGTTCTCGCATCCTCGTGAAACATCATCGACAGCGGCCCAAGTACTGTTCATCCAGGCGAGAACGCTCAAAGCACCCGGATGTGTTCTTGCTCCGCCCATTTTATCAAGGATGGATCAATGGCTGTGTCCGAATTCAGGGTCTGCATCCTTCTGCGGACTTGAGGCAGCAAGATATCCCACAATGCAATGCGCCACAAGCAGCGGTAAATGGAGAAGGTCAATACAGAAATGTATTGCATTTTTACCACCATTAATTGCCACGAAAACTCGTTTAAATTTGTTTTTAGGTGAGAAAGTAGACCTTATAGCTTCATCTATCCACTCAGTTCATCCAGAATATTCATACTTTAATAATTGCTCCGGAGTTTTTCGGAGTAGCATAGCTCTGCTAACAGACCGGAGGAGCTGCCAGTTTAACGGGCGGTTGGAACGTGTTTTCCCCGCTAACCGCAGCCTGATTTCAGCAAGTCACTGTCGTTTTCCGCTGCTTGTTATCTGTTCGTAGCGGCTGAAAGTGAGATATAAAGTGAGCTGCAAGTAGCAGAATAGGAGATATATTTTTTTCTTAGCTTATTTTTTATATTTATTTAGTTAATATTGGTATTTTATAAATTGTGTTGACAGACTTTCAAAACCAATTACTTTCATTCGCTAATTAACTGTTTTTGGGCATTTAAATTAGTAGTCAGAAAAATATTTTAATACAATGTCCCTTCATGATCAGAGAATCATACTTTAATTTGTAAATAAAAAAAAAACACATTTCCCTAGGATTATCATTTCATGTATGAGAGTGAACTCTTATTTTTCATTGTTTTATGCAGGCAGCTCTTCAGGTGAGCAGACTGCAGTTCCAGGTTTACTTCCAGCTTCCCAAAAACTCCTGGAGGTTCTCTTCATCCCCGTGTCCTGCCAATGTTCTCTTCACTGTCTCCTCATCTTCTTAGAAAAAAAACTATTAAATTATGGTAATATTTGCTTTTGACGGTCTCAGTATGAATTTCCTGGAGTTATTGACTGATTATCTGCTTGGTTTTTTTTTGTTTGTTTGTTTTTTATTATTCTAATAAAGACATTCCTACAAAAATTATGTTTCTCTTTCTATGCTGGTATTTTACTAGAGTATACTTGATTATGATAACAAAGGAAACATAAGTTTGTTAATAAGTGTTTAGTAGTTATTATAAAATAACCATCCAGTTGTGTGACAGGAACTCTGGCCAGATGCAGGTTGGTAAAACATTAAATATGAAATAATTGTTTTAACTTTTCCTGTTTATGAATCCCCGGCAAACCTGGAGAATAAGGAAGAAATCAGTTAACTGTATGACAGGCTGGCCACCATCTATTATTTGTCATTTGAGATAAATATTTTATAAGCAAATAATCTGATGAAGGTGGGAAACAAGACTCAAGCTTCACTGGTAACAGAAGTCTGAAAAAGTAATTTGAGGTGATAAATTGTTTTCTATTAAGCTTTTTTCAATCAGTAATAAAAAACTTAATCCTGTTAATTTGAAGGTGTTTCTACTTAGAAACTACTTTTCCTGAATTATGTATATTGGATATATGTTAATATTTGTCCCAATTATAAAATTATCCAGTCCCAATTGTTAAATTGTTCAGTTTAACACAGGAATTATCCTGTGTTAAACTGAACAATTTATTGAAATTTCCGTATTGTTTCTCAATAGAAACGGCCATTGTGGTAATTCATTTCTATCATTAAAAATCAAAACTGAATTTTTGAAGTGATAACTAAGTTGTTTTAAATGCAGAACAGGTTTTGGGGCATTTGGTTAAGTTGACCCTCTCTTATCCAAAATGAAAGCTCTATTGAGCATAGACAATTTATTGATAATTTATGCCTATCATTTTTGTACATTATATATACAATAATTTTAAAAATAGTGCATCCAAATATTTTTTTAATGATCCCATACAGAAAATAAGTTGATGTAAGAAACAAGCAGAACACCAATATGCTACACTAAGTTTTTTCCCCACTGTCTAAATATACAAACCTGCTGTACATGAATCTGCAGAAATAACAAGCAAATTCTATTATAGTGGTTTTAATGATTGTGTGTTTTTCATCGCTCTGAGAAGTATACCTTTAGTGTCCATGTCTTTTCCATTCCATAGCTAAGTTTATCAAAGCTGCAATTTCAGACCATCCAGGTGAACATGAACAAACCTATAGACCCATTCAGTGTTTGTGTTGATCGGTTTTGGATAAAGTGAGAAACCGACAAGTGGACAGTGCCAGAGAGCATAACAAATTTGTCATCATGTAGCTCTCCCATGCGGTTTAGATTTGCGTTAGTAAATCAGGAATTTACTTAGAACATCCTTTGTCCTAAGTTATGCATTATATAAAGAATTTAGTATTGGTTTAATAGGAAGTGAGATTGTTAAATCTAAGTTTTACAATTGTAAAGTTTTTGATTACTTGTTCACTTTTTTAATCTTACATTTGTACTGGTTAGTAGATTTCAGCTGGTAACCCTGCCCACATTAACTGGGTTTTTGTAGAGAAATACAGATCTTTTTAATATCGATATTAGCATAAACTGTATGACATGGAACATCCAAAACACGTTCCATACATTTCTGATTCTTATTTGTTAAAAATACCCAATTTTGAATTTATGTGTAAATTTTGCTTCATACCGTCAACCTACCGGAGACTGTAAATGAAAATTAACCTTTATGGCTAAATCAGCTACATTTACATCAAGTAAAGTGCTTGTGTTAATTGATGTGTATTGTCTAGTTGAATACATAAACGCATTAAATTAAAGTGGTTGTAATGCAAGAACATTTGCTAAATGTCATGGGTATAAACACTTTTGCAGTGTAGTGCATTGTTACCGCTTCTTTGTTCTTTAATGTTTAAGCAAACTTAATTCCTTTGTTAATGGTGCCACAAATAATCTTGACTTGTCAAATTCTGCTAAGGATATTGTGTCCATAATGGCTCCATCTCAGATTTATTCTCAGATTTATTCCAGATATTATACAAATGAATGGAAACAATTCCACAGATGTTTACCACCAACATCTTTGGCTTTAAAAGTGCAGTTTCTGTACCAGCTTCAAAGGTTCAAAAGATAACTAGGGCAAGCAATAAAGAAACCTAACTAGATTTCCTCTTCTTTCTTTTATTTCACTCTAGAAGTTTGCTTGAAATCACACCATGATAGTGACAAGCCCTCTTTCCTTAAAACATCACTTCATTTGACTTAAAATCCAGGTGAGTAAACATCATCCTAGTTTGTTAGGAGGGGGCAATGAAAATGGATGGTTAGATTGACTCTGCAGTCTTGACATCTGCCAACTTATCCACTTTAATATCATCTCAGGATAACTAGGAGGCAAGCAGCATTTTGTTAAAGCCAAACAAAAGATTAGTGTGGCAGCGTGCTGCCGAGCGTAGAGTGTTGAACATTATCCAGGTCAGAGTGATTTAATCAGGTGTGAATGAAGGCATCAGGCCACGCTCCAGGGCTCGGTATGCCATCATCATTCAGCGGGAGGAAAACTCACAGATGTAAATGTGGCCTTATTTTTGGAATAAAAAGAACAAGGAGATTTTGTTGGCTGTTTTCCATAGGAGCTCTATAAGGTACTCCCATTTCCAAAAACTGAAAAAATGTAATCAATATACTTAAAACATACTCATTGTTTAAGCAAACGTAATTCCAGTGAAGACTGTCCACTGCTCACTAAAAAATTAAAACCCTTCCTCCCTTCATAATTTTTTGTAAATCCATTTGCTTATAAATTTTTGATCTCAACTGACAAAACACAACAAACAGCTTATTGATTTTCTCTGCATTATAAGCAAGAAAAATTTAAATAATTTCATATTTAATTTTTACCAACCTGCAATTAGCCAGAGTTTTTGCTTTACAGTTCAATGATTTCTTTGCAATAGTTACTATGTAAACCTAACTTTTTTATTTTATCATCATGTTAACATCATGTCTCACAGCATAAACGGGGACACAATATTGTCATAAAAAGTATTTATTAGAACAAACAAGCTGCCATGTATGGGGAAATAGTATAATCTAAGTTTAAAAAAGATGAGGAGTCAGTGAAAAAGATGACAGGTCAGGAGGAGGAAGAGGATCAATGGGAGCTTCTAGGTGATGTTTCCTTCTGAAGAGCTGCCTTCATAAAGCAATAAAAAATAAATAAAAAGTTCACGCTGCACATAAGAAGCCAAGCAAATGAAAGTATGTATTTCATACAAGCAGAAGTGAAAGTGATCAGTTTAATCATTAAGTACCATCTTAAAATATTTTTCTTGAATTTACATGCTAAAAACATTCAGAGGAAAGAAAGAAATGTAACTGGTATGAGAAGAAAACACTGTGGTCAAAGTTTAGAAGATATCAAAATCTCTAAAGAATATAATATTTTGATACATGTATCAAACAGCACAAGTGCAAACACATTAAACCCATCAAATGCACTGCGCTATCAGCTGCTACCAACTGATAACAGGCAGCAATAAATGACAGTGACTTTCTGAGATCAGGCCACAGGGAAAACACTCTCCACCCACCTGTGGAGCCTGCAGCTGCCTCGTCCTGCTAGCCGAGGTACATGCTCCAGAAACTCCAAAGCACATTTCAAAGAAGTCTCATTCAGGGTGAACTTAGTTTCATAGATGAAGCTGTAAGGACAACTTTCTTGTCTAAAAAACAACTTTTTGCTACAAATAAATAGTGTACTCATCTGTTTACCACTGCTGGCATAGTGCATTGCAATGGAGGGCATCTTCCAAAAAAACTCACATGTATAACCTCTCCTTTTCTTGGGTGGTCAAATGTCCGGTATTAATTGTTTCTCATGGGAGTTTTACTTAAACTGACTTGCAGTTTGCAGAGATTACAACAATATGAAACTATGCTATATAGTTTCATATATAAATAATGTCTATGTAGCTACAGTGTGTGCGGGGCAGAGAGAACTTCAGGGCCAGGTCACTTGTCTCATAAAAGGCAAACAAATTCAAAAGTGAGCACTCATTATCCTTTTTTTTTCATTTTTGTTTTGTCCACGAAATTTTTAAATCAGAAAACAGTTATCCAATTTTTCATTTTTAAACGAAACAAGTGTATTTCTGTTTTGTTTTTTGTTTTTTTTTTTCATTTTTTGTTCCAAATGAAAAAAAAATACTATACACAAACTAAAACATTCAATTCACTCTGGCATTTTTAATTTTATTTTGTAAAACCTCATCAATATTTAAAACTGATCACATTATTTTTAGGCAAGAAAAAGTTGAAGAGTGAAAATCAGCTATAATCAAGAAGAATTTAATGATTTTAATTCCTTTTCGATCAAAAATCTCAGTTAAAGTGAAAGAACAGATCAATGTGTGGATGTGCCATAACTTTCTCCAGCTGAACAGAAACAAAATTGAAGTCGTCATCTTTGGACCTAATGAGGAACGATCTGGCATCAGCACACAGCTTCAGTTATTACAAATGGAAACTAGTGATGAGGCTAAAACCTTGGAGCATTTATTTTTAGTCAAATTGATTACTGCAACATCAATCTTCCAGCTGCAGCTGATCCAGAACGCTGCTGCTGCTGTTCTCACTAAAACCAGGAAGATAGAGTACATCACCCAGTTCTAAAGTCCTTCACTGAGAGAATAGACTAACTGCTGATCATTTTTAAACCACTGAACTAGGGCTAAAACGATTCCTCGAATGATTTGAGTACCTGGATTATTAAAATTCTTCGAGGAAAATTTATCTGCCTCGAAGCTTCGTTAATTTATGTTTTATTATTTAATGCACCGTGTTCCGGAATTCTCACTTCTGCCTGAGTTGTTGACGGAAGCTAACCGTTAGCAGCATAATGCCCAGTTTTCAACTTCGCCCTGGGGGGATTTTATTGATTGATGATAATGCCTGGGTCTTTGTCGTTTTTCGGGGGACCAATAAGCATCCTTAAAATGACTGGTGCAATGCCTGGAGTACGGTACCTTTTCTCCTCCTGGAGCTGCTGCCTGGAGGCGAGGAGGAGCGCTGAATGTGCATTTATACAGCTGAGCGGGTAGACTGAAGACAGCGGGCAGCTGTGCATTACATGATTAAAGGAAGTAAAGCTTTACGGATGAATCGGAAAACTTATTTCATATCATCCCAGTCTCATCAAATGTGTGGCGGAGTACATCGTAACGTCTAACTGGTAGACGTGCTTCTGTGTGTGATGGACGAAAGTGTCAAATCCCATCACTAACAAACACAAAAGCTATAAATGTCTGGGCAAGGTGAGAGTTCATCTATTCAGAATCAGAATCAGAAGAATTTTAATGTCATTGTCAGAAATTAAACTGACTGAAGATGAATACATAAACCAAAAGCTGGAGCGTAGACATTTTTTATAAGCGTATTTGTGAGCCTGCCTTTTTATTACATTGAATATAGCTTCAGCTTTTGGTATAATTTTTCTTCTGGTTAACTTGGAAGGTGAGCCATTATTGTTACAGGTTAATTTTCTAAACTACAGAAAAGTTATTGCTAAGGAAGTTCAAATATGAAAAATTGGACTGATGTTGATATGTGATAGTAACACTGCTGTTATGTTAGATTTACCATTTTTTTATTTTATCTTCCCCCCCTCCCCCCCCGATTACTCGATTAGTCATAACAATAATCGATAGATTACTCAATCACTAAAATATTTGTTTACAACAGCCCTACACTGAACTATAACATTAAAGATCTGTTGTTGTTGTATCAATCTTCCACACTTTTCAGGTCTTCTGGTTATGGCCTGTTCTGTATCCTCAGAAGCAGCATTCAGCTTCTATGTATTACAAATTTGGAATAAACTTCCAGAACACAGAGTTCACCCACGGTAAAGATCTGTCAAATGTGTTAGCCTACAATCATAGTAACACCACCAAACACTGTCACAAATTATTAAAAGAAACATCAAAACAACATGTAAATATTGTGGCTGTACAGCTACCACTGTTGTCCAAACCATAAAGATTTCCTAAACAACGTCCTTTGAACAAATGAGACCAATGGAGAGATGTTTGGCTATAATAAACCTCACAATATTTGACTCACTACTCCCACAAAAACCTTTTCAAGTATGAGTTCGTCTTTGTTAAATAAATAACAGTGTTGTTGTTGTTGTTGTTGTTGTCTGTTGCGGGTTTTTGTACACTTGATGTTAGAGCAACTAATTCCAGAATCTGGTCAAAAGCGAAAGACATGGTTTGAAGAAGGATGCAAATGTTCATTCAAATTTAATAGTTTAAAAATAAAAAAATATATTAATCCCAAAAGAAATTAAATGTCGGAACTTGCATCATTCAAATATCTTCAGTCCCTGATGGTGACGCTGTGGGCAGGAAGGATCTCCTGTAGCAGTCAGTCTTCCAATGAATCTGAAGAGGGCTCTGAGTAAAGACTGGTGGTGTATGTCAGCTTCATGACTGTAATGTTAACAGCTCAATATCTGTGCAGCAGAGACGCTACTTCACAGCAGCATATCCTGGGTGGCACCATCAGTTGTTAGCAAGTTCTGCTGATCCGCCCCATTTGCTTTTGCCGCTCTTCTTTAGATCTGTCTGGCTGTATGTAAATAGCCGAGAGTCAGGGATGTGATCCTTGGTCATTATGATCAGTTTGAACTTCCTCCTTCTTTCTCTCCATCCATGAAGGCTCCTTTTCAACTTCTCTGGGATTTGAGGTCAAATTCCAGGTATTATTTCAGCTTTTCAGATGCTAATCAGCTGTTGCCAAAAGCAAAAATAATGCCTGATGTTGCACTTCATAACTGTCCAAACGTAAAAAAAAAAAGAACTAAAAAATATGTTTGCTGTGCAGCCTCAAAACAGCCAACACCTCAACCAAATAAACGTATTACCAAAGTCTACAAATCAGAAATAACATAACTACTCCAATATCCTTCCACCACGAGTGACGCAACTGTAGGATCATGTCTTCACTACTGTGATCATATCTACCTTATGGTATACCAAATCTACCTAATGGTATAAATAAAGTTGATTGATTGATTTGATTTAATTTGTATGTTGCTGCAAAAAACTAATTCCACAGTTCTCCATGATTAAAGGCACTCTGGATGAAAATCAGTAATCTATGTGTTTTTGTGGGATACATGGGATTACCAGTTCTTATTAATACTCAGCATCATGACCTCATTTCGGATTTGTGGCTAAGCCTTTGATATTATGTGCCTGAAAAGCCTTTCACAATTTCATGTCAGGATCATTTAATAGAAAGTATAGACAGGAGATAATTTATCAAGTTGACCAAAAGTATTTTTCTTCTAGATAATATCTAATACAAAAGAATTTGTCATGTTGTATAAAGTGATTTTCCAGTTGCTTTCTTGTTTTAGCTACCCGTTTACAGGTGCGCAACAATGGGGTCATCTTTTCTCCTACCCAGTTATTAAATAAATGAATGCAGATGTGATGCCTTCTATCGACCAATCCATGACAGTTAATGCTCTAATAAAAATGATCAGTTCGAACGATTGTTAAGTATATCTGGCCCCCACCTTCCAGTAGTGTTTCAAACTCCGCCCACTTAGGCAAACATTCAATGGAGAAGCGCTTCGCTTTCAATGGTCTGAGCTCCAACCAATCGCTGAATGCCCTGATCCCCCCCACTAGCACCGGCTCTCAGGCCTTCAGCCAATCGCAGCAGACCTCTACCCACACATGACTGTGTGCTGCTGTCTGTCAACTCCCTCATATATAGTGCATGCAAGAAAATGTGGAGCAGTTCAATAACTTGTGCTATAGACAGACTTTTATGAGTACAAGTCTGTGTGTGGGTGTGTGCGTGTGTGTGGGTAGAGGGGGGGAGGTTGTGGAAATGCATCTGCTTGTTTATTTATGTAGATGAACAGAAGGAATGACGATCAGGGAGGGAGAGGCAGACGGAGAGAAAGAAAGAAAGAAAGGTTTGGAAGAGAGTTGTATTTGCAAACTGCTGGCTGACTTCCCACTGGAGCTGTGAGAGATCAGACCGAGAGGCTGCGTGTCAGAAGAGAGAGAGAGTGTGTGTATGTGTGTGTTTGCACATCTGAGAAGAGAAACGCAGAGACACAGACAGAGAGAGAGAGAAAGGGGAGGGAGGAAGGGAGAGGAACCCGTTCAACCCATTTCAGCGGCAACTTTTCAGCCCGTCTTACATGAGGTCTCTCCCTGAATATGGACACTTTTCGCTCCCGTCTCTTCAGCCATCCGGTCGCCACGGTTCCCCGATGCCGAACTTTGGCCACACTTTAGGTATGTATGCCAGCTGTTTTGCCTCTAGACTTTTATTTCTCCGTTTGAAGGGTCATAAGGCACCTCTATATCACTTCTTTATTTTCGACAGCAGTATTTGCACAAAAAAGAAAAATAATCAAAATCTAACTGTAAACAACAAAAGTTCTTTTAATCCTTGCAAATGTTGTCCACTGAGAAAAAAAATCTTTTTTATTTGTGGCAGGAATTTTTAGCTGGTCTTGAAGCATGTGTGTGTGTGTGTGTGTGTGTGCTTATGAGAGAGTTGGTGTTCAGTACAATGTGTAAGAATTGAAGTAAACGACCCTTTTGGAAAGGACAAAAGTGAAGAGGCATATTCTGTATGCTGTACAAAGTGAAAAGTGTGTGACTGCGAGTGTTTTTTTTTTTTTTTCTTTGCTCTGTGGGAATGCGGAGCTGCGGTCGCCGGTAGCGATGTGTGACTGGAGAGGAACTGAGCCAGACAGTAGACAAAAGCAAGCAGGGCCGACCAGACGGGGCAGGTCAGCCATTAGGGGCTGCAGCGAAGGGACAGGTCAGCCAGCTGCTGCCCCGCTCTGTGAGCAGAGTCCAGGGTGTGGGGAGGGGAGGGTGGAGGGGGGGCATCAGCCTTTAACTTTGGGGCTCAGGACTGGAGTTGCCACTGGAATTTGGGGGGCGACCACGCTTTGCTTCATGAGATTCATGAGAACTCCCAGCATGCATGGGAGCCCCCTCTGTGCACCCCACCCCAGCACCCCCTCCTCCTAAAAAAACAAAACAAAACTGTTTAATAAGAAGAGCCCCTTCACTAAGTGCTGATGTCTGTATCAGGTTTGTAAATACATGGACATAAATAGTTTATAGTTTAAAGGGATTCATCAAATCCAAAGTGCCTACTTGTAAGAGTCCAGGTGCCATGAAGAAACGGCACCAAAGGAAGCCTCAACGTAGGAGGGGGTTAAATATAGACGGTGACAAAAGAGGAAGAATAGGAGAAACAGACATTTTCACAGAGCTCGTCATTTTCTATTCCCCTTTTTCACCGGTATCCCCCCCACTGGTCACTGGGTTTGGAATATATTCTGTGACAGGAAGCGCTAGCAAACAAAATCTTTTTTTTTTTTCTATTCTGCTTTTCTCCAAAGCTCTTAATCCAGTAGGAGACAAAAAAAAAAGCTGAGAGCATTTGGGAATAACAACAACTGACAAAAACATGTCTGTGGATCCCAGATGTACACAATGGCTGCTGCCACTTCAGAGGAAAAACATCATGCTTTCCAGCAGCCTAACTTCCAATAACAACCTGGGAGGATAACTTAGTCGATAACTAATCATGAGTAAAGAGCAGATCATCAACTTCAGCTGTAGGAAGTCAAAGAGGAAAAACAACAACAACGTCCTCAGGCTCTTAGAAGAAAGAACAAAAAAAGTGTGTTGCACCCCTGATGCCGAATCTTTCTGAAATGCCAGTACATGTAGAGACTTGTTACTCAGAGGAACATTTCAAGCCCTCTCCACCGGCGCTGGCTTCTTCCTGAAGTCAGACAATCCGTAGCTCCAGTCAACAGAGCCTGTAGATGCAACAACAGCCCACAGACAGCTGAGGGTATGCCAGTGTTTTGTCTTTAAATGAGGCATAAAACACAATGTTCTCATGGAGAGATTGCTCAATGACAACAGAACAAAACAAAGCAAAAAAAAAAAAGCAGGTAGTCAAAGTCCTTTGCTGACCGGACGATAAAGTTTGGACCCTACAGAGGCAACTCTGAGGGGGTTCAGCATGTTATTCTGTCTGCAGCATTTTAAGGCCCAGTGTGAATTTGAGAAATCCACTATCACTTGCTAATCATCTGTTGAGTTCAGAGCAGGAACTCTGTGACCCGGACGGCTCAGAGATGAGACCTGCGTGAACTCTCCTTTGGCCCCCTGGCTTTGGAGGAGTGGGTGAGCCCCTCTGCTCCTCTGGCTGCCCTCACAGGGCCGTGTGCTATACCTGGATTTGAATAGAAACCAGACAGTGATGCCTCCCTTGCTTAGCCACCTCCCGTCCATCTCCCCTCCTCCTTCAGTCACCACTCTTGCGCGGGACAATGAGGATTTGTTGGTGCTCAGTCGTGAGCCTGCTGACACAAAGCGTGGAGCCTCCTGGTCCCCAGCCCGGAGTGGAGCGGGCCTATAAGCACAGGCGTGCAGGACACTGGCGGGAGGGAAGCTGGAGGGTGTGTGTGTGTGTGTGTGTGTGTGTGTGTGTGTGTGTGTGTGTGTGTAGGGTAGTTTTGAGGGGTGGGATTAGCCGACCAGAGCTCTGAGTTGGGGGATGGGGTCCTAAAATGAACAGGAAATTACAGCCTTTGATCAGGCAGCAGCAGATTCAGTCTGAACTTCTCCAACTCCTCTCACGCTCATGACTATGCTTATAAAAAAATCTAATCTGTGGGGAAAAAAAGACATCAACAGCCTAATCAGTCACTTCCTGTCAGCTTCCGAGTCATTGTTAAATCAGTACCCAGGTGCAAAGCAAACACAAAAGTTAACTAGTGGTGTTCCGCTGCCCCCTCCCCAGCCGTTCCCATCTTCCCTCCCCTCCGTCATGGAAATCCTATTAAGTTCTGTGTCTATTTGACCCACATTTTTTATCCACTGGAGAAAAAAAAAATAACAACAATAAAAAATAAATCACAGCTCAGTCAGTTTGTAACTTCAGAAACACCATAGAACATGGAATTTATTTTTAGCTGTGCTCATAAACATTTCAGAATCCACCAAGGTGTAGAGAATGGTGGAAAATCTATTGTCAGATTAAAGAGTAACAGTGATGGACTGAAGGGCGATACTGAATTTGTTGTACATTCAGCAGATTAAATTGAACTCGGGCCTCAAAGGACACCGAGAACTCCTGAATTCTGAACCTTTCTGGTGGCTTGTCCAGAGATTCCCGGGAACTCCTGGTCCATGTTTGTGCTTGAGAGTGAGAGGAGCGACGGTAATGTGTGTTCAGTGAATATCAGGGTCGATTAGAGAGTCCCGTCTGGTCGGGCTGCAGGAGATTAGACAGGCGGAGCAGATACAGGCCGCGGGCTGGTCGTCTGGCGTTCTGACCCACATTGCTCTGATGTGCACGTCACTTCCCATTACGGTGACAATTGGTTGCCACATCAGCTGGGTACGTTGTGATCCACATACCCTCCCCCTCGGCAAGGCCTCTCTTCCCGCAACCTGGCTCTGTCATGCACGTACTGATGGTCCAAGTGCCAGGCCTCAGGGAGTGCTGAGGAATCACAGCATCATCCAGCCCCCTGGAAGACAACTGAGCAGAACCTCATCAACGTAGCTTCTGAGCTTCCTGATGTCTCATGAAACTATTGGGACAAAAAGACCTAGCACCTAAAGACCGATAGATTTACCAGACTTCAACAGATGATCAGTCGCTTAGTTTTCACCTAAATGTTCCTCCAGGACCTTACAGCTGGCATTAACCCTAGGTTTGCTTTTGACATCACTTAACCGTTCTCTTGAACAACCTTTGCATATTCTCCATTCTCAGCAGGCAGCTGAAAGGCAGTTAGGCACAAGACTAACTGCCTTTAGTCTTGCGCTCCCAATGTGACATTTCAACAAGCACTTGGGCCCTAAAGCGCACACCTTCAGTCAGCCCACCTTCCGCAGGTACGCCTATGCGGTTAACTTGCATGGAAGAGGCAAGAAGCTGGTGGCAGATACGCAGCCGGCTGACTGAGAGAAGTCTGACTGTTTGCGGGCTGCCCGAAAGATAATTGGCAGCTCCAGAGTGAAAAGCGGGCTCAGCAGCAGATAAGGGCTGCATGGAAAGCTCCATAATCAGCATGGATTAGCAAATGATAAATCACCGGTTCACACAAGTGTGGCGCTGTCACAGCTGGGAGAGCCGTAGAGAGAGGTAGGAAGGAGATATGAGAAAGAAAACATGAGGAGGGAGAGTGGGACTGAAGAGCAGGGAAGATTTTGATGTCTTTTTTTGCTGTAATTCAAGAGCAAAACATAATAATACTATCCAGCAGGTCAGCACTAGAGGCAGGCTGGGAGTGAGGGGTGAGGGAGGGTGGAAGTGGGAAAAATTAAAAGCTGTGCCAACATTTCAGCTAATACAATCTTCTGCCTGTCAGATTACCTTTTTTAATCCAGAAAGGTTTTATGCCTCTTAGAAATGTGAAAGGAGACATGAATTCAGCAGAGATTTTCCTCTGCTGTGTGTGTGTGTGTGTGTGTGTGTATGTGTGTGTGTAGGATGGGGTGGTTAATTCTCTAGAGCAGCTCTCTAAAGCACTGTCCTCAACAACTCTGCCGCACAGAGGATCAGCCGATCTAAACCGCTGCGCTGTTAAATTCTGTGATTATACTGCGATGCTGAAAACTCCCAGGTCTTTAAAATATTCTATGTTGTGTTTTCTTCTTAGCACCGTTAGCTATGTTTAGCCTTGTGTGCATACTATACATGCATAAGGTCAGCAAAGTGCAGACTAGCAGCAATGCCCTCCCACACCTGGTCTGGGATGGAGGGGACGGGAGTATGTCGTTTCTGTTATTATAAAAATGATCATGTTTGGTGGGAAGCAACGTAGCTGGAGAAGATGACAGCTTTTTGTCGTCTGGCTGGTGTTAGCAAAGTGCTAACAACAACAGTATTCTAATAAACTGGACATAAAAGAGCAAATAAGATATCATTTGGAAGCTTTTGTCGTGTCTTAGCTGCATGCCTCAGTGTGTGTGTCTGGGGGTGTTAGAGGACACTTGAAACATGGCTCCACCATGCAAACAGCTGCAGGAAGCTTCAACGTAATGTTCTGCTGTGCTTTTTTTGTCTCACGCTCCACCATCGACTCTGCCATTGTGCTTTAACCTTTATTTTGGTTGGTGCAGTTTGTAGCAGGTCTGTCAGGCTGTAGGGCAGTACAGAGTAAAGGTTGATCAGTATCCAGGTCATTCTCGCTTTCTCACCTCACTGCTTCAGCTGATAACAGAAATATAAAATCCGAGTTAGCGCCTGTGATGTTGGCCCCAATTCTCACTGCTGTTTGGAAATATCTCAGTCTGAGCCTACTTTGCATTGATTGCAGGATGGGAGGGTGCGATCATGGCCTAGAGAATACTGAGTAAAAAAACCGAAACAGATCCCAATGGCCATCATCGACTGCATCAATTAGACAGAATAAACAAAGACAAAAAGAATCTTGTTCCAGGTAGCTGCCATACAAAATTATTGTGTTTCTGATCTACAATAGTTACTCTATCAGAAGGGAAACAAGTTGTGATCTGTCAAACTAGTCTGAGGGGTACAAGCTCTGTGGCTGGGAGTGGGACCTGGGGAAAAAAACTGCTGGAGATAAAAAAGCAGCAGCAGGCGGCAGAGAAACGTCACGCTTAAATCCAGGAGACAACCACAAAGGGCCCCCTCATCATGCTTTGATTGGGATCCTTTAAACTGCTTGAAACAGAGCCTGGGTTACATATTCATCAGCCAGAGCACTCTGGAATGAACCAACAAAGCTTTGTAGAAAAGAAGAGTAAAACATATCCTGCAGTTCTCTCATGCTTGCCGATGGAGTGGATAAGTCAACCGGTGTCAGAGTGATGCGAGGTGATCAAGCAAGTCAAGGTGGGGTTTAAAGGTGCAAAGCACAGACGGAAGAGGATAAGGAAAAAATCTAGCTGACACAAAGACACATCAACCAAGGCAGGAGAGAGTGAGGATACTAACGGCCATAAGGAATGGAAGAGAGGGAACACCTGGGATGCTGGGAGAAGATATTCAATAAGAATAGCAAAGGGTTAATGATGAAATTGGAGCTGGCAGCAGAGATGGGGGCCAGCCCCCAGAGACCCTACAGAGACAAATAGGAGTAGATGACTGGATGGATGGATGGATAAGGTTAACCATTATTAATGATAAAAAGTCATAATGTATTTTTCTTGATTTTGTACACCAACACAAGAAAGCATTACTTTTAGCTATTGCTAAAATGACCAGAAGTACATTTGATGAGGTGTTACTATCACTTTCAGTACTTATTATATAAAGAGCCATATTGGATTTTAAGGTTGAGGTTGGTGAGAAGTGTTCAACTTTTCAGTGCCGAATTCTGACTTAAGTGGGAGTTCCAGATTTTTCTGGGTTATTTTTACTTTGCTAACAAAATTTTTACAAAAAATGTCCAGCGCTTTGAGACCTACATAAGTAATACATTGTCAAATATATAAACAATGATGCCAGTGAATGCTAAATATTGGGTTCTAGAATCTTGTCACCCTGAGCCACTTTGGTCACTTCTACACATGTGAGGAATCAAAGGAAACGTAGTAGTGTGATGGTATGCGACCAGGCTGAACCACTAAATCTCATTAACTTCTTAATTTGAGCCGTTATTAAACCATCCGATGCAACTCAAAGCCCATTTTGCAAATGACACAGCATTTAAGGCATATTTGCTAAATCTGATTGAGCTTTCCTGTGAAGAGGATCACCCATGGCATGAGTGATTTTAGCAATTTAATCTCAGAGCACACTTCCATCAGGGGATGCGTCACTGCACCAACAGACTGTACAACAAAGTAAGGAGAAAGGATGGGACGGGGAGACCGTGTGAGTGCATATGTTGGCAGCTGCCCAGCTGGAGTATTTTTGAACCGGCATCCGAGCTATGCTGGGAGGCTCGGGTGGACCACGTACACACTTGAGAGCATAATATTTGGGTTATCAGCGGAAATGAGCAGGCATCAGGCAAGTTGTGGATATCCAGTAGCAGGAACCGAAAACGTGCATTTCCTCACATCTACTCTCAGGGTGCAAAACAAAAACTGAAAGAAATAAACGGACCCATAAAAGTTTGGCTTTGGAAGAACCTGCTGAGATTATTTTCCATGTCAGCCTTATTTATGTTTTATTTGAGGTTTTAGCAACTCTGACTAACCCAGAGTTCAACCAAAGGAAAATGCAACACAATGCACAAGGATGAACCCGTTACTGGTACAGAAATACATTAAGACTGATTGTTAAAATCATAAATATCACCAATAATCAACAAAGAAAGTGCCAAAGTAACACATTTTCTTCAGCTGTGTGGAGAGCAGTTATGTGGGGATTTTTTGTGATATGAAAGAGCAAAACAAGCAAAAAAGTACAATATTCTGTCCAACAAACACATGAAAAATACTATTAAAGTACTATTAGTGGATGTTGGTTAAGTCTAAATATTTTAATATTAGAAATAGTAGAAATCCTTTTGTCATCTATGTTTTAAACAAAAGCAAGAAAATGGTATGCTGCTATCATTTTGTGTACGACAAAATGTAATATATACACTCCAGAAATACAAAGGCAAACTCATTCTTTGTCGTTTTCTCAGGTAATATACATCTTCATATTTTACTTAGAATTATACTGGTCTCGATTGTTGCACAGCTCAATCCGACCGAAAGACCATTCATATTGCATTGGAGGGCTTTTTTTCACAGATTGAAGTCTTTCTCCCAATATTCTGAAATTCAAGCAACCCCAAATAAATGTACTGTAAGGACTGGAATAAATGTTTCTAACTGCGGCGCATCTGTGTTGTACTTGCTTAGCTTCAGGCAGTAGAGTCGTGGCTACAGAGCAGCCAAATATGCAAGGCAATACGACAGAGAGTACACAGTGTGCTTCTCATTGTCCAACCCCTGGAATGTGCTGACGATGCAGGGTTCATGCTGGTTCAGTCACACTGTTGCTGCCGCTGCCGCTCGCCTCAGGCCCGTCAGACTCCCATGCTGGCCCAGTTATTTTTTGCACATTACACTTTTGAAAGTTTGTCAGTTATGCAAAGTTTCTGGGGACCGAGCCAGCACTGGTATTATTGGGAAAGTTCGACATGGAGGCACAACCACGCCTCTCGCAAATGAATGAGTCAGTGTGCGCACTGCCATGCATTTCCCACAAGTTCTTCCCCAAGTGCAGAGAGGGGCGGAAGTTTAGTCAGTAAAAAAAAAAAAAAAAGAAAGAAAAACGGAGAGGGAGAGATTTGAGAATGAAAAACAGCTTCTCTGTGTGTCTATGGCAAACAGCCAAGAGCTACACATGCCAAGGAGGGAATCCACTGAAGCTGAAACCGGCAAAAAAAAAAAAAAAAAACAATTACGAAACTATTCTCACCTAGCCTGTGTGGAAAAGGACACAGGGAAGCTGGGATCTCCTCATCTACGGGGTAAACTGCCATCAGAAGTAGGAAATAATTTGACCAAACAGTTTTAACTATTTTTCCAGTAAATGTTGTTTGATCATTATTATATACTCTGTTTCAATAAAAAAAATATTTCAGCAAGATCACCTTTATATTTTGGGCCTTTACATAGATGACCCACCCATAAATATATGGATCCATAATTCATGGAATGCAGGAAAGTGATAAATGTTGCAGTTCTATACAGTAAGTGGCAATAATGAAGCCTTCTCCAAGGTCAGTGAACTGTGTCAAAGTGGGAGAGAGTGAACTGTGCCCCTCGTCTTAAAGTGATCATTTATTATGCAGACAGCAGAACAGCAGGGGTTCTTTCTGGAAGCCTGTCAACTATAGGGAACTAGTGGCAAATCATCCCCTTTCTATTCTCAGACTTTTTTTTTTTACCCAAATCTGACAGAAGTGAAGCGAGCAACATAACAATCCGCATCCTGTTCTTCAGCACCTTCGAAAACAGGTTTCAGTATCTGAGGATGAAGAGCAAACGAGCCAAGCTCTTCCAAATCCCTGTGTCGGTGTTGAGGGGAGCCGGCAGAACAGAGACAGAAAAGGAGACAGACAGACAGGGAGTGCATTAATAAAACATGACTGGATGATTTTCCAACCTCAAAGAGTCGAAGGCAGGAAGCCGCGCTCCCAGAGCAGCAGCTGAGGTTCAGCGCAGGGTAAAGGGAACAGTAATCTCTAACTAGCTCCACACTGCAGCACACTTGTTTAAGCTGTGGGGCACGGCACCGTCTTCTGATCACACGTGTACGAGTTGTCTCTTTTCATGAGCCTGTCTTGGTCTCACTTCCTTCCAATTATGCCCCTTTCTGCTTCTTTGTGTTTTCCGCTGCAGGCTGAAGCAACCTGAGTTTTCTCTGCAGTTTTGCAGGAGGTGATGATGGCATTCACCGTGTAAAGCAACTCAAGCCTTTGCATCATCACCCCTCCTTGCGGTGTCATTTGAGCCTTTGCAGCAACGAGGTTGGCAACACGTCCTGGCGTGGAACCGCTCCACATGTGCCAAGAGTGCAGTTCAAGAGTGCACAGGCAGACACAAAGAGTGGTAACACACATTTACCTGTCTTCACATGTGTTTTTCCTAGTTTTTGTCCAATAATGTGAAAGCTGAGGAGGAAAATACAAGACGCATCAGAGCTGCTTGTAGGAATCAGACCTGCAGACATAGAACTACACGAATGTTTAGGCCCCTGATTTTCACTCTGTGGAAAATCCACAATAAAAATTAGTTGATATCAACATGAAAGCAACACCAAAACACGGATTGTCAGTAATTCAATGGAAATTCCTCTGAAACATGGGAGAAAGAAAAATCTCCTATTTTATATATATATATATATATATATATATATATATATATATATATATATATACACAGACACAGAGAGAGAGAGCAGTGTTTTGGTGTCCATTTAAACTCTAAGGCATTTTTACAGAGGATATTTTTTATGTTCAAAAACAGATTTTTAGTTTTGCAAATAATGTTTGATTTCTTCAAAAAAAAATGAGGAGGAAACACTAACACTTTGTAACACCAATGTTTTGTTGAACCACAGCGGTCCATTTCATTTGTCATACAGAATAACAGGAAATGTAGACCTTTAGCTGTAAATTTGTTATTTTTTTCCCCATCCGCACCATAATTCAGTACAATTTAATTCATAAAAACTAAAATGGAAAAAGTAGAATTTGGGAAAAAATAATACAGAACTTGGAAAATAATAAAGCAAATTTCATAGTGTCATATTGTGAACGGTACCAAAGAGGCCAGAAACAGACAAGAGTTTGTGTTTTTTTCCACTTGTTTCACTCAATAGCAGAAGCAAAAAAAAAAAAGTTCAAACAACTTAAACTAAAATTAGCTCTTATTTGTATTATGTTTTTGTTTTCTTTTCTCTCACCAAGTTACCAAAGAGCTACCCATGAGTCAAACAAAGCTACTTTAGTGCCCACAGGGAACATTCAACGCTGTCGGTGAGTTTGTGCTCTAAGGAAAACCATCGACCGTTGACTGTACCTTGAGGGACACCTCAGCACATCAGATCCTCCACTCAGAAACTATGACCTGCACTCCACATCCAACCTGTGGCCACCAGAGCTGCTCAATATCTAAGGCTGCAATAAACATTCATTGCTGTCGGTGGGTTTGCACCAGAATAACTCACTGATCAATGAATGCAGACTGCGGTTCAAACACCCTGTTGATGATGTTCACCAGAAGATAAAGTGGTAAACAGGTTAAAAATAACAATGGGAAGCTCATATGAGCTTCATGAGAAGCCAAATATAAGGATCCTGGTTGCAAGTACTGAAGGAGAAACAATGCTGCTAGGTTAAGCTACTGAGTTCAAACCCACTGAGCTAAACATTAAAACCAGCAGCTAGAACCTAGTGGTTTGTAAACATGGTTAGTGACTGAGCATGGATGGAGAACATATGAAATATCCTCAGCTGAAATAACTGCTCAAATTAAGTGATTTTTATACACTGTCATGCATTATCAAACAAAATTCTTGTCATTTTCTCTTTGTTCAATTCTGTCAATCTGTCGCAGATGTAGCTCACCATCAGTGTGTGAATGTGTGTATGAAGCACTCTGGAGTCCTTGGACCTAATAAAGAGCAATACCCTGCCGGCCATTTACAAACAGGCCGGTAAATCTTGTAGTTTCAAGTATTGAAAAACAAAGTGTCAATAAAAAGTAAGATATGTGATGCTTCTTTGAAATCAAAGGGGGGAACAGTTCTACTATGTGTGACTGGAGACTGCCTCTGTTATTTCTCATTTAAAGGAATATAACACAAAGGATAACGAAAGCCTAGAATTTAACTGAAAGTAATTTTTTTAAAATCATGTAACATGTTCACAACAGGAAGCAGCTCAAGTATGTTGTGTAGCATCACAGGGAGTAAAAACAAGCAGTCGTCTTGCATTAATAACCACAAACCTCCCAGTACAGTTCACTTCATCCATTTACATTATACAAGTTGATCAGATGAGAGAGAGCAACGTGTGTTTTCAGAACATGAAGCTTGGATTACCGGATCAAAGGGGTGTCGATTCAACTGACAGATTTCACCTGAGCAATATGCGTTAGCTTTGGGAGAAATAAATCAATTTTCCCTTATCAGGATGTAGATGAGAATGATTTTTGAATCGATAAATGTCCAAGCTTAATTATTTATTCATTATTGTAGTAAACTGACATTACAGGAAGCTAATGAACTCATCTGAATGCTGAAAACAGATGTGTATTGTCTCATCACACTTTAATGTCAGATTTTATGACAGAAATATTGAGTATATGAATCTTGCCAGTGCTGTACTCGTCTCTCCCTACAGATGAGAGTACAGAAATGTTAGATCCCAGATATAGCTCATTTCCCATGCCAAAATAAAATAAAATTCCTTTTCTTTTCTGCAGCTGTTTAACACTTAAACAGGTCAGGAAAAGTAAAAGCTGAAATCATTCTAGTACAGCAACATCCGAACAAGGCGGGAAAATATCACTAAAAAAATCTTTCCAGACAGTAAAAAAAAAGGCAGAAAAACTAATTTGATGAAATATTTCATAACTGATTTTCATCACAGTTCTGATCTAGAATTTCCCTAGGAACAGAAACTGAGTATGGCCTTTACACAACTGTTCTACAACTCAAAATATTAGAAATGAACTCCTCCCACTCAGAGTGATTACTGTAAAGACAGACGATTCCTCTCGTGTTTTATGTTATGGTCTGGCAAAAGGTTTAAAAATTTTTTTAAAAAAAGTTATTAAACGTTTGTTTAAAAAGGAAAGTTGCTGTTGTAATGTCAAAAGCAAGGTACAGATTAGTTATTAATTGCACTATATTATAAGCCCCTTATGGAGTAAGTAAATGGAAATTTAAAGCTTTGTGGAACACACCACATGAAAAGGTCTCTGTCCTCCTGGATTTTCATTTTCTATAGACAGAAGATCAACGTGTTTAGAATCTAGCAACATTTAGGTATGTAAATCTATATGATCCCTGAAAGTATTTCCATAGTCAATTTGTTAAAATGAAAAATAAATCAGAGTAAAAAATAATGTTTGGAAGTGTGTGTGTTTAGTTTGAGCCTACCTTCCAAAGCACAGTTTCACTTCATGAGGTAGAACATGTGGTAATCTGCTAAAGCAAATGTTTGACATTTAAAACATTTCGTGAGATTTAATCGTTAATCAAGTTGAAAAGCAGAAAGCAGCAGCAACAATTGTTGTACCAAAGATTTCATGTATAGCGGTCACTACAGTGGACAGCTATCTAAAAGCCATTTTCTTGTGGATTATGTTATAAATGCACATAGACCACTGAAGAGGACTCTATTGCATCAGGCAATACACTGCCAACTACTGTCCATCAACTGCAAGTGCAAGAATTTTTTTGTTAAATCCAATATGGTGGACAGACGGAGCAGTACTAGGCTAACTCGAGAATATCCAGTCTGTCCTTCTACTGTAGAAAATTTTTGCAGGTAAATTACTATTTATGTATTTTCCAAATAATAACTTTATCTTTGGAGAAAATTACAACTGATCACCTGTCCACTAAAGTGGATGTCATGCGCAGATCCCAGATCCTAAACCAGGCTCCTCTATGTGCACTCAACCATTTCACCAGACATTGAAGTGTCAGACAACTCATGTGACTCTATTGTTTTTCTCCCCATCTCATCAGAACAATGTCTATTGTGTCTGTACCACAGAATGCTCAGTTATGCACTCATCTCTGTAATGAAGGGTTTGTGCGCTACATGCCTGCAATAATCCTCTGTATGAGACTACGGTCAAAGATTTGCTGGGAGTAGTCTGATCACATGCTGCACTGGTGTTTTTATTCACAAGATGATGGTGTTGGCATTTTAAAACCCCTTCTGACCACAGCGATTCCTTATTTAAGTAAAATAAGGAATAGTTTACAGACGGATGCAACTGTAGTAACTTGCTCTGAAAAACCTTAACTAACTAAGGCATGGATACAGACTGCTGGTAAAAGGTACGTACATGTTTTCCTTTCCTTTCAGCTTTTCCCTGTAGGGGTCAACCACAGCGAGTCATCTGTCTCCATCTAGCCCCATCTTCCACATCTTCTCTCACACCAACCAGTTTCATATCCTCTTTCACTCCATCCATAAATCTGCTCTTTGGTCTTCCTCGAGGCCTCCTGCCTGGCAGTTTCACCCTCAGCATTTGTCTACCACTATAGTCACTATCCTTCCTCCACGTCCGAACCATCTCAGTCTGGCTTCTCTGTCTGAAATGGTCATGTCAGACTGCAACACATCTGTCACGTTGAGGTACATACACCAATTATGTACCTCAATTCTAGCAAATTAGACTTCACCAGTTCTCAGTTAGAACCTACCTATATGTTCTGAACTCCATCACTGCTTGTCCCTGAACCACTTGAGTTTGTCAAGACTTCACTTAGAAAAACTTAGTGCTGTGATACATTTTCAGCAAAAAGAAGCATTCTCCTCAACGCATCCAGTCAAAACGTCCTAGATTTTTTCTGTATGTTCAAACACATATGCAGGCAAAAAGTCTGAAGATCTTTTTTCACCTTTTTTTTCTGAACAATATAAGGTGTGCAATCAGAATGAACTCCCTGGAATACTGGAACCTAGAGTTCCTGTAAAATGTATTTCCTTTTTATTCAATCAATATTGCATATTTACAGCATTTTTATAAGAACTGAAGGTTATAGTTAGTTGACTATTAAAATGACACTATGTGCCTGGAAAATATGTAATACTGCCCTGTAGCTGCTTTAATATTACAATGTTATGCAAAAAACAATTTTTCTCTCAGATTCTTTTATCATTTACCACATTAATCAAATTTGATGTATTAACAATTTAGACCAGACTTTATAACATGATTTTTATCAAGTATGGGTGGTGTAGCAATGTGGATTAGAAAGTGCCACAAAGCAACCAGAAAGCCTTGAGATTAAGGATGAGACGTTTCAACACCAAGTGTTAAATAAAAAGGCAGTTTGGATTTTTTTTAACTGTGCAACAAGGATTTTCAATGTTATTCTCACTAAAAGAAACAACATAATCAGTCCTTTTACCCACCTGGCTCTAGCTCCTTGTCAGCTGTGGCTGAGCAAGCAAACATTCAGCAGGATGACTGCACTCTTCACTATTGTTTGGTCTGTTTAACTGGTTACCAGCTTGCCAGATTTATTAGCCAACCAGTTTCCAAGAGTCTGGTTCTGCTTGACAAGACAGCCAAGAAAATACAGTAATATACAGTTTACAGGCGGGAGCAGTTAGAGGACCG